CCTTCACTGGAATAAACAACCAACCGTGGGACACTATACTTGGGAATCTTTGTAGTTAGGTCATTCTTAAGATTCTTACATTTGAAGACCAAACATGTTCTAACCTTATTTCATAATATACATGCTTTCTAAAAGTGTAATTCTTATTTGGTTTATATGGTTGTATAACTTTGTATTTTTTAATAGAAGCAAGAATCACACATGATGAGAATAGAAGTATGTGTAAAAGGGATATGAAAGTGGATGTTACCAAAAATGGATGTTGGAAAATCCATTCGATATCCTTCACTTGCATTAACCAATACATTTGCTTTTCAAGATCCAATATAATTGAGTCGGATGCATATGTTGTCAAAAAGGATCTCATGTTTGGCTTATTTATTTATTTTTAATTTCTTTATAGGTAAATTGACATTTGCATTATTAAAATGATGTCTGTGTGAAGTAAGTATGAACAAAGAGCGTTTATTTTTTGCAGCCATCTAAAGTTTGGTAAATGACCCTTTTACACTTCTTTTTTTAGGGCTTTTTATTTTCATTTTTTTGTAAAAATCTTTTAACTTTTGCAATATATTGATTACAGACTACACATCTATACGAATTATTCTAACTTCTTGACAGCTCAATCTGAAGTCACCTCATAGGAATTCGACATTCAAAAAAGCTTTTTAACTTGCCACCAAAGGAATTTCTCATCGGTGATTTTGTCATGTTTTCTCATAAGAAAATTAGCCCTTGAGGTATACTCGGACGGTTGGATTTGATTACGGACTGCACATCTACACGAACTGGTTACTTATTAGAGTTTCCAATTTCATTTTTGAAGAGTAGACTCTTCCTATATTCAAGAACTATTGAGTTTTATGCCAACTTATTGAGACACAAAACAAGGTTTTCATTGCAGCTGATTTTTATTCTTTTATTTGTTCTTTTAGTGTATGATACAAAATTAGATGAGTTAGGCCAATGTTATGAACTATCATTGTTGGGTTTTATACCAATTGTAGCCTTATACTTTGAATTTTTTTCATATACAACGAAATTGTGTTGTTTTTCCTTTTGTTTAATCCCAAAAAGAACTTAAATGAAAATGAAAAATGACAGATAATTCAACTAAAAAGACAACTTATGACATTTCAGATTCTAGAGGACATTTGACAGTTTTTATATAGGTCGCACTTGTGTTCTCGAGGTTAAAGTTTTTTGCCAACTCAATAAAAAGGTGCATTTTGCCCTTTGATTAAAATTGACTTATATTTGGAGATATGTATAAATTGATACCAATACCTTTAATAAATGTTATGATAAATACACAACAGACAAACACAAGGGTATTGTCATAACTTGAGTTAGAAACAGATTTACTTACAAGATTCTTAAAAAAACATTTATGTTATTTGCTAATGTCCAATGATCGTTAACATCAGTCTTTGTACCTTAGAAAGTTGAACAATCAGAGGGGAGATAGTGTAAACATCATGTATGTCTGGAACTAAGAACATCAATGGTTGTAATAAAAAATACAAAAGAGCTTGAAGGAATAATTCTTTTTGAAAGGTTAATTTTAGAAAAAAAAATAACCTATTGCAATGAGTCAAATGTAATTCCTACAAGTGTTTGATGACCCTCCTACACCAATCATATTATTATTATTATTATTATTATTATTATTATTATTACAAATCAATAATAAAACATTAACTCGAAGAAAATATAAAAAGTTGTAATTTTTTAGAAAAAAACATGAACTTACTGGAAGATCATTAACAAATCGATTGATAGAACTACAAGCTTCGTTTGTAGTACCAATTTGTATTTCATTCATTAATACATCAACAAGAAAGAAAAAAGACAACTGACATTGGTTCCCGAACCTAAGAAAAGTATAAATTAAAAATATATAGTCTTAAAGGTACTCATATGTGACAAAGAAGGTCGTCCAACTAATAAAACAAAAACTGTTGTTTACAAAGAGGTCATTCATCGATTATAGATATTCAAACATTTCATTGTTTTTTTCAATGTTACCAATAACGCTAATTCTATTTCTGTTACTTTCTTTTTAATTATTGTGCAAACTTTTTATATTTTTATATGTATTGTTTTTATATGTTTTACCGCGGGTCATAATCTAGTTTAATAGAAAACCCAAAATATGTGAAGATGGAGCGACAAGAAAGACAAAATATCTTATTTGATATGTGATCTCGGTGATGTTTGCCTTGCAGATTCGGACATTCGGTACTACTGAAATTCAATCACTTGTATCACGTGTAGGTTGCAAATGAGTATGAAGTTGACTTCTGTTGAAAATCACAAAATCCTTTGACTAAAGGATTTCAACATTCCATCGTACGACCCAAAAAATTCTGCATACCATTCCTAAGTGGGTTTAACCCATTTAAAGTGTTTTCAAATCATAAAAGAAAAAAAAAAGGAACAATTTGAATAATTAACGGTCTCGGGCTATCGGCAAATCAGAATTTTAAACGATTTAAGATTAATTTAATATATTATTGGAAAATATAAAATCTAAAAGTATAAACAATTTGACAACTGGTGGTTGCTGGTTTGCTGAAACGTGTTGGTCTAGAATTTCTTTATTGTCGTTAAGATGGAAACTGCATCAACTATTTTCCTCTCGTGGGAAATGATCTACTTATACTAAATGTAGATATCTATATTCATATTTAATATATATTAGTTATGTATCTGTCATGCAACGAGTAATAAATTTTGCTAGTAAAAATTTATGTCTATATAGTGTTGATGGGTTGAAAAATTCATTACTCTATTAAAGTTATTGTTAAACCTTTGTTTATCGATTTTTATTTCCGATTTCTATTCATGTAAAGGTTGAATTTTTTATTTTCTTTTTGTAAATTAGTTGCTCTTGAGAGATATTAATGATCAAGTGTGAAACAGAATCTTAGTAAATGCTTGACTTTTTATAATTTACTTCCACATTTAAAAAAACATGTATATTTTATACGGTGTTTATTAAAGTAAAAACAAAAAAAAAACAAAAATACCCAGTTGAAATCGACAATTAATTATAATCGTAGTTTATGAGACAAAAAGAGTATCGTAAAGAGTATATGATGTTGTTTTTTTCTAAAAAATTTATAATTGTAGGTTGAGTTTAGATCAAAGGCTCGCAAGTGTTATTACTTTATATTTTGTTCTTATTCGAACCTATGCAATTGTTTGCAATATAAATAAGTTGAAAAAGTTCTTAGCCTTATTTGTTTGCCTCTTAATTGGAAAATTAAGAGGCAATCTCTTAATTTTTATGATCTAGACGGTTTGGTGGTATCTGAATTTATACCAAACATTTATACACAATTAAATGCTTCAGCTTCCAGGTAATTTTGTCAAGCACACCTATGTCACAAAGTTTTGAAACAAAAAGAACTTATAAAGTATTTTGAATTAACAAACAATAGGAAAGAATGAAATTAAAATCCTTCGTCAAAGTAATGGAACGTTGTAATCTCTCATTTGAGAAACCTTTAATTCCAAGATCCTTCCTTTTTAACCAAACAATAAGAAATCGAATTCAAATCAAACAGTTCTACGTGACCCTATTGGCCTATTTGTTGAATAGAATCCATCATATTTTCACAAAGCAAATGCCCCTTATTTATTCTTTTTCAACTTGCATACAAAGAGATTCAGAAAAAAAATGACATACAAAGCCTTTAAGGTTTGTAAACTACTTTTATACATTATATCACATAAATCAAACAATCTACCATACCTAATTGTCAATTGATAGTATGTCGTGATGATATGATGTTAGAAGTTAGAACCACTTTGGAGATAATAGGATCTCTAAGAAGGGAATCATGTTCATTTGACCCTTAGTGAATATTATATGAATCATTATTTAAAAGCCCTTTAGGATCTTTGCGCTTTTAGCACATGGAAAAGGAAAACGTCAATGACTAATTATAATATGTTTCTTCTTTACCTTAAAAGCATACCCTCCTACCTTTTCCTTTCCCTTTTTCTTATAGATAAAAGAATGTCTTATTAAATTATGAACATTATGGTTTTTGAGATGTATGAGATCTATATATACACAAAAAAAATGGGCCTAAACATGTGATACCCAAGAAACGCAAAACGACCCAAAGGGATGCCAAGCTACCAGAGACGAGACTTCTATTCTCCAAAATCCCTGGTTTCCTTGTTATGTCTAAATAGCGGCAAGATCAAGAAATAATCGAACTCCACAATTCAACATAATTTCATACTTTAAGCTTACGTCTTAATAAAAATAGGCCTATTAAATGGCTGTATTTATTTGTCTTGCAATGCTTTCATATTCAATGGTTGCATTCAAAACAACTATTTAGAAATTTTTTGCTTAGTAAATAGCTCATAGCTTGTATCAAAAAATTTTGAGCATTGTGGATAGGTTTCTTTCATTGTAAGAACATTTGTTAACGTTTAATAACTCTAAAGAAACAAGTTGTAACATGAAAGAATCTGAATCCTAAATACAATTTTTAATGCAAATGACATGTTGTTTAAACAATGGTTCTCAAATATATGGTATTTTTAAAAAACACAGAATTTGGAAGAAAAAAAAATGGATCCACTTCTGTTTGATGGTTTGAGAACCAACCACTATGACTAATCAATACAGCAACATCAACAACCCTTCAACTATATGAACCAAAGTCAATGTAATTGACAATCTTGCAAGATAACATTTGCAACAAGGCTTATAATATTGTTGCTGATTGTGTAGAAGAAAGAGACATTTGTTTGAGTTACATTTTTAATTTGAAACTGAATAAAGTGTTCAAAGTCAAAACAAAATAATTGTGAAATCAAAAAATAGAATCTTGAAAATATTAGGTTCAAATCTGTAAATACAAAAGTTGACTATTTCATAAAGGAGAAAGATGTTGGCGTCCATCTACTGATTACATTAATAGAAGTCGGTATTATAAGTAATAGGATTCTTCATAGTCTAAAGTATCTTCATGTAAACACTTTGAAACTCTTGTAAATTAGCATTAAGGGATAAAAGTTTTCCTTTGGCAAATAAAAAAGGTTTGAATGTTATACATATCAAGCATAATGTAGCAAAGAGCCTAGAGATATTCAGCTAATCCTCAATATCGAAAATTTAGTTTATATAATCTTTTGATGCAATAAACTCGAGACCTAATTTTATCCAAGAAAGTTCATGATCACCAAATGCAGCACCAAATTGCACAAAACAAAATCCGCAAAAGCACGCTCAGGAGGCAAATCCTACAACAATTTGATAAGCAGATATCAGGGTACACAGGATATGACATGACATGGCAAAAATAAGTTTATAAAAAATGACGTAAATGCCCTCCTCAGTTTAATTGCATGATCTCAATCAAAACGTTTAGAAGTACAGAGCCAAAGAGGAACAAGAAACGTACCTTAAATTCCTTGTTTTCTTTGTTTACTTGGATACGAAGACAAACTGTTGTAATCAAAAGGATAAAGAAATTATTTTTTCTAAACATGGAAACCCTAATTGAAATGAAATGTATTCAAGCATAAAGTTGAATATAATATACATATAAGATTACCTGCAAGAACAGCTGTTCCTACACAAGAGAGTACACCTGAGAGAAAGGAGTTGAATGGAAAGGAGCCAACAATGGCCATATAACCCACCTGATAATAAAAGCAAACCATAAGTATCTATCATCTACATTTCTATGTGGACTCCAAACATAAGGAACTAATCTGCCTTCAATTACTGTTCACATTTCACCAATCTGCCCAATTTTGATGTTAAATCTAAGAGTCTTGGAGAGTAAATTACAGGAGGTAAATCAAACAGGACAACTAGTAAACATTGAAGACAACTGCGAACCAAAAATTAAAGTTCTTAACATCAACCATTCAAAATAGAAAAGAGACTCGAAGGGAAACGAAATTGGTCTAAAATCCCACTAAAGAACACTAACTGGATCAATCAAACAGCGAAAGGCGACATCAATTTCACATCACAATGAGCCACGACTATTAATTTAAACAGAACGTTGAAAATGTAAAGAACGGTTCACGAATCATGAACAGATTGTGTACCAAAACAACGGCATACCTGAATCAGAGCGGTGAAGACAGCGAACACCACGTACAGATCTATGATCTGGAATTAGATTAGATCGTTAGGGCACAGACACAATAGAAAACAGTAACACAGGCGAATTTGATTAGATGGATCAGAAAAAGGAGAACCTTGAGATTAGTGGGAGTAGCGGAATAAGCAGAATGCAGAGAGCGGAAA